CCCGAGTGCTATAAGCTTTACTTTATACTAGGTTTGCGTATTTTAGTAGAGCTATTCGCTTTCTAATGATTCCGGGATACATTTTATTCATATGCGTGCGCACTGCGCAGTCGCGGGCGAAAATTAGTAACAGATAAAATCCAATTCGATAGTGTAGCTGTGTAGTTTCTTCAAAGACTTATGAAATAATTATTTTAAATAAAGATAAGTAGGTAGTAGAACAAAACAGTACCTTGAGCGTAGATATATTAATAATAAACCCATGCGTCTACCTCAGTACAAACCCTAAGTTGTTATTTGCATTGACCTCTCGCGCCCGGCCTTAGTCGAGGCCATGGTGCGGAGTGAGAGGAAATGGGACGCCGTCTCCTCATTTTGTGAAGCAGTCATGCTCGCAAAGAGAGAGGCGGCCCGCGTGAGGGAGTAATCTTCCTCCTCACGCCCCAGCCGCCGCGACTGGCGACACTACGGGCGTCGGGGATCGAGGGACGATGTCGGGCCACCGTAAGCAAGGGTCTGCGGTCGGCGAGTCCTTACTCGCCGACCGCAGACCCTTGCTTACAGCAGCTCGCCGCCTGACCAGAACCAGGCCCGAGCGTACGACGCGTAGCGTTCCGCGCGCGCCTCAAAGAGCCAATAGACCACCATTGACGGGGCCCTAAAGGGCTGATGTACAACCGGGGTTGCGTGATAAGCGCAATGAGGCACCGCGACCTCGGCCCAGAGCAGGAGAAGGAACAGGAGGGTTTTTAGTCAGTAAGAGTCTGACACTCCCTCCCGCCCGGCCCTGGGCGGGAGAAGTCATTTGATGATTTTCCCCTCACAAAAAAAGGGCAGATTTTCAATAGTCAGATAAAGGTTATCTGAGGAATAAATAGTTGCTGTCACTGTCTTATACAAACATTCTGACGCGACAGCATCATAATTTATTCCCCAGGTAACTTTAATCTAACCATTGTCAAATTGTTCTAAACATTGTCAACCAAAATCAGCCCTTAATAACACGCTCCCAAAAGGTCAAGTCTGGTGCCATGATAACTTCAACATATCGTACCTGTGAAGCGCGCTGTATCGGTATAGATTCTACAATGTACTCATAGAGTTTTTGCGCGAGTCAATGTTATCATAAAGCATTTGTTCACGTTTAAGTACAGCTTATTTATTTTATTGTGTGGGAGAGCCATGCTTAGGCACGAATGGGTCGGCCCGACCGAAGTGATACCACGGCCTCACAGAAAACCGGTGTGAAACAACCACAGCGTTGTGTTTCGCGGTGTTAGTGATGTTACCGGAGGCCCAATCCTCCACCTCCCCTATCTCTTCTCAATACTTAAATATCCGGAACCCTTATCCCCAAAAGGTCGGCAACGCACTCGTTACTCCTTTGATGTTGCTGGAGTCCAGCGGCGGAGCTGTTTGCCGACTTATCCTACATAAAACCTGCTTGCAATGCTCGAACCTGTCGTTTATTTCGGCGGTGACACACCACTATTGCACCAGAAGAGTCGTTGACGTTGACAGCTGCAGATTAGTGCAGATGTATCGAGTTCGAGTGACGAAAACCCTGTTCGCATCGCTGTCGAATGCAATTTGTCGAACGGCTCGTTACCCACTAAGCAATATTGAGTCCACAGTCTCAGTCGTGTTTAAAACGACAAACAAATGCTTCTTTCTGTTCTCCCAAATATTTGTTAATCCAGGTGAAAAATTGCAAACTTACTCCAATAATGAACGTCACATGGTCCTATACCTATATAATAAGGTTACAGAAGAAATAAAAATAAGCAACTAGAGTCCGTGTTCTAGAGTGGAGGCCACGTCTAGGCAAACGCAGTTTAGGGTGCCCTCCAGATAGGTGGGCTGACGACATCGGCAGGGTGGCTGGCAGTGGTTGGATGAGAAGAGCTGAACATCGAGCTCAGTGGCGTGCAATTGGGGAGGCCTATGTCCAGCAGTGGACGAAATCAGGCTGAAGATGATGATGAACTCGAGTCACGATGTTGCTGATACTTTATTAATATAATGTGGCAAATTGAAGGATGGGCATAGTCAAGGTGCCGATTCTGGCCCTCAATTACAACGTTTTCCATGAGACCAATATTGAAATCTCAAAAAAAAATTTAGAGACTACACACACTTTCCCTTGACAAAATCACAACAGCTGATTGCATTATGCACGGAGAATAATTTTTTTTTTTAGATTTCTATGTCATTGATCTTATTATGGAAAAAGTTTTTTATTTAGGCGCCAGAATCGGGTCCTTGAAAAAGTCCCTCGTTCGAGTGCTAGTAATATACAAATACAAAGCGAGCAATAAAAACAAAAATGTATTATACCTACGAAATATATAACGTTAACAAAAATCTTTCTGTAGGTACAAAAATTCAACAACAGAAATTAAATCGGGTTCGCAATTTCACTAACACACTGATTTAATTTAGTTGCCGACGTTCATAGCTTTTGGAAAAACAGTATTAATCCGAAATTTCTCAACCTCTAGAGAGATGTTCCGTCACTTTGATAAATAATCCTCTACCAGTCCGACTGGAAATATTGTGTTTGCAATTTTTCACGTGGATTTGCGAGAGCACGATGCCAAAAAGTAAACAAAGTAGGATTAAAAACTGAACTCGTATTGTACATACGTGAGAGACTACTGAACTTATTGAAAATAACAAGCTTATTACGGCATTCATAGAGAAAATCTCTATTCACGCAATATTTTGACAGTACGTTGTTGTTCACTGAAGGCGTTTCGCAAGTAATTTAACACTGGTTTGCTGTGCATGGCTTTGCGAACGACGTATTTAAAAGACTTCTCTCGAGTAAGTCTCAAAAGTATAGAAATATATGGTTAAATAATTTAAATAAAAACTCTATAAAACAATCTTGTTTTCCCTGAAAAAAAGGTTGAAATCTTTCTCACTCAAATATGTTTTCAAGTAGTTTCGTAGTTTTAGAGTTTATTGCAAGCAAATAATTGTGAAAACAAAAAATTCTTCTGTCCAGGGTCGGGCGGGAGGGAGTGTCAGACTCTTACTGACTAAAAACCTGTTCCTTCTCCTGCTCTGGGCCGAGGTCGCGGTGCCTCATTGCGCTTACCCCGCAACCCCGGCTGAGATAACAGATACCTGGGGAATAATTATGATGCGTCAGAATGTTTGTATAAGGTATTGACAGCATCAATTTTATTTAAATATTAAGATTACATTTATCTGACAATTGGAAACGAAAAGAGATAGGTATTTGTATAAAAAATGCTGTCTAATGTTTTGAATACAAGTTTCATTTTTGGTAGTATCTTATGAGTAAAATATGTAAAGTTAAATTTATAACAAACTTTTCATTATTACTCATTGCAATAGCTTCTGCCCGGGACTTTGCTCCCGCTCCATCTTACATTACCCGAAACTACTTTGGCTTATTCTACCCTACTCCTACCCTGCTCTTGCCTTCTTGAAGCTATTTCGCTTTTCTTCTCCTCAAATAATGCCTTCTGATTTATTTCTTTGCGGGATCCAAGACAGTCATTCGAGACGCGCCGGACTTCCGTGTTCCTTTGTTTTCATGGTTATCTTTATTGTAGATCCTGGCCCAAAGGAGTTGCAGCGGTTTCGGGAGGCTGCGGCGGACTTTTCCCAATGAAGAAACTACTTTTTAACTTAAACAGCCTAACCTATCCTACCCATTTTTATAAGCACCTTCTGATAATAACAAACACATTAAAACTAGCGAAATCAGTTCAGCCATTCTTGAGATTGACGCTTAGCAACATTTTTTTTATTTACAAGTTTCATATATGTACTCGTATGTACTTTAAATAAGTAAATATGAAAGCCACATTCAACTCGTACTAGGAAAACAAACAATACACCACTGGTTGAGACACATCACGTGGCCACGTGTGAACAGTTTTAATACCAATATGGCGGTTAAAATGTATCGCCACGTGTTTTATTTACGTGCCGTGCTTGCATTTCTGTCTTGTTAGAAAAAATAATTGAGCGTTGTTTGTGTTTTCAAAAGGTTTTAGGTGCCATCTTGTATTTTCAAAAACAATTTCACTCATATTAAAAGCGTAAACCTTACAAATACACTTCAACTGGATCCGAAAAATATTTAAATGACAATAATAAAAGCCATTTTTTACACGAATAGGTGGGCTCAAACGGAGTGATACTACGGCCACACAGAAAACCGGTATAAAATCACCACAGCGTTGTCTTTCGCCGTGTGATTAAGATTACCGGAGACCAAATGCTACCCCTTCCCCAATCTCAAAATCTACTAATCCCAAATTCATCATCCCTAAAAGGTTGGCAATGCACTCGTCATTTCTCGCTGCGCTAATTGCCTACCATCAAGAAATCCGCCTGCTCGTCTGCCGTCCTATCACATAAGAAAAAAAAACAATCTATACAAAGGTTTAAATTAGACAAAATAATATATTACATAGTTTTTGACGCAAAAAAATCTTCGTTTTGACCATGCACAAATGGGTCGACAAGAGTGGATTTCCTTTCGCCAAGTTACTAAGGTCAGTCCTGAAAGGACGAGGAAAGAATTGGGACTGAAAGGGGACTATAATTTCAGTCCTAATCCTAAAATTCTCAAAACTCGTTATTCCCAAAAAGCCGATAACGCACTTTTCTAGCTTTGCGAGTATCTATGAGAAGGGCGCTAGTTGCAAATCATTCTAATCCATCTACTCGTTTGCCACCTTAAGATATTACAAAGTTTCAACTTAATTCTTTGCAGTAAACACAAAATTTTTTAGCTTAATATTAAAAATTTATTTGACGAAGAACAAACTAGGAAATTAAAAAAAAAGATATTATTATATAAATATTTATTCAACAGTGCATACAGGCACAAACCTTTTTAAAATATACTCATGTAGACAATTAAATATATTCTGTCAAACTAAAATCTACAAGTGCAATGCTAAATTATTCTTGTTGAAACTGTAAAAGTGCAATTTTGATTCATACATACATATTTAGTCTTTTTTCTGGGCTACTAGTGTGTAGTAACTGTAAGATCCTTTCAATATCTGGAAAAAAAAAATATAGTTACTTTCATAAAATTAACATTGCTGCGTTGTTTTGCTGTGTGAGTGAACCATTCCCCTATATCATCACCAATCCCCAAATCCCACAATGCGCTAATTCCGCAATCCTCAAATCTCTAGCCCTTAAAAGACAAGCAACTGCACTTGTAACATTCATGCTGAGAGTGTTAAGACGGCGTCGATTGCTTACCATCAAGTGATCCGGTTACCGCCCCTTACCACAACTTCCGCCTACTCCCCGGGAGGTTAATTTTATGTGAACTAGGTATATTGTAACCATAGGTAAACTTATTGTCCGAGCGTGCTGCGCGCCTCAAAGAGCCAATGGCTATCCCTAGACTAGGCCCAACAGGATCAATGTTTTGCGAGGGTTGCGGGTCTAGCGCAACAAATTACGGCCTCGGCCTAATGAAGGAGAAGGAACGGGGGTTTAAGTTAGTGAGAGTCTGACACTCCCTCTAGCCTCACCCCGCGTAAGTCTATTGTCAAAGATTAGATATACATAATACATTAATTTGCACATATAACTGCAAATTTTAGTAAAGGAACTTTTATTAAAAATAAAATGGTTTGCGATTTTACGTCAAAAGGAAAATTTGAATCAACGTACCGAACCTAATTTCAGTCGAAAACGTATTATTGACGATTTTTGAGATTACATTTTGGAAGGTACGTTTATAAAAATGAGAGTTATTCTGATTGATTTTATTTTCAATAAATCTTAATGCCTAAAAATGCTACAAGTGCATTTCTATTCAGAGCCGAAAATTTAAACTTTTAAATTGAAGGAAATTTTATGAAACATTGCTTTGAGATTTATTTTCAAATAAATGAAAGGGTGGATTGCAGGATTGAATAGTTGAACACAAAGTATAAAAAATTGAAGTCACATATAAATTACAAAAGACATATAACAATAAATATATGACAATGAAAAGTTGACACAAGAACCTTTAGTCGAGACTACCAGAACCCCGTAGTTTTCATAAGATCTTTAAAAAACGTCACAATGGGATGACCAACCGGATTTAAAAAAAACCTAAACGCAATGACAGTCAAAAATGATGCTATGTCATTTTATTACATGCAAACATAAGTGATGCCACAAACGAACTGCTTCTACCTAATAGCCTTCTTATGCACGTTCTAATAAGCAGCGAGTACCGCCACAAAGAGTTAGTTACTTCTAAAGCCCCAACAGAGCCCTTTTGTATTTTAAAATACTACTTTATCTTTTTACAGCATCAAAAGAAGTTTCACAAAAGAGCTGCGCTTTAAACGTCTTTGAAAAATGGGATAGAATTTAAATTTACATTCGTACCTCCTGTTGAATTGTGAAGATGAATTATATATTCGGATATTTAAATCTGATTCGTTATTTTGTTAAGCATTTAGTTCTAGTATTAGCTCTTAGCGTATTAAAGAGACACTGAATTATCGTCAGGTAAAATATTTGGAGTCTCTCTGAAGGATCGTATTCGAAACGAGGTGATCCGACAGAGAACTGAAGTTATCGACAGAGACTAAAGGATAAGCAAACTGAAGTGGCAGTGGGCAGATCATATTTTGTCGAAGAACCGATGACCGTTAGGGTAAAAGTGCCCTAAAGTGATTGGATGAGGCCTATGTCGACAACAGACTGGTGATGATGTATGAGAGAACAGGGAGGAAAGTTTCCCCTCCTCCATTGAAAACGGAGTATCCTCCAAACAGACGGGTGTTATGTCTGGTGGACTTCTGCCCAAAAGTTGTTGTCGGGATTTTCTATAGGTGTTTATTACAGCGTTAAGTACTTCACTTGCGCGATGCAGAACCTGTTACGCCATCTGTTGGATATTGTTATCCATCTATGTGAGTCGCCACAAATACCTACATAATAATACTATATTAATTATAAAATAATTATAAAAATACTTACAGCAACAAATGTAGCCATATTGAGTTTTGTAAATGGTCCAGCATTAAACGCAATGGGCTTGCGAAGTTGCCCTCCTAGCAAAAGCAGGCTTCTGCGCGTGCGCACGTTCTGCGACCACCATGCACTGCTGTACACACCATCATCCACTTGGTTACTCTGTTAACACCAAAGTGATAATATTAATTATAACCTTCACAAATATATTTATATGTGTCTATGTACCCCGAAGGGGTCATATAAAGGCCTGAGTGAATAGGTTGCTTATGGTTTATGCTTCATCGTAGGTGTCATTGCTTATTACCAGGCGTTATAGCGGCCAAATGCCTGACCATTGCAAAATAAAAAAAACGACTAATACATAGAAATATTTATAAGAAAACGGAATACAACAAAGACTTTTCAACTATTAAAGTCAAAGTTAATAGTCAAAAGTCATTTATTTCAATTACCCCCTTACAGGCACTTTTGAACGTCAAAAACATATTATTAAACGAATTAACACCCGAAATCACTTTAATTACGGTGAATGATATTTATAAATTAATTGGCAAAACAATATAGCAGATACAGAATACAGAAAATGCAAATGAAAGTAGCGATGCTACCGACAAATAATGTAATCGACCGTTGCTAAATGCGCTCTAAATTTTATAAGCCGTCACTTGAGCCCAGGTTTTGTTAAAGGAGGTTTTGCTTAGACTCTTTATATCTCCGTATAGGACAATAAATTATTGTAGCTTTTACATTAATTTTTTGACACAATCCCCCTTATTACAAAACAAGGTTTATCTTTAGTCCAGGTTTAAACCATTGAGTCGGGTTTTGAATTTTGAATCTTATCTACCTTCAATTCGAAATACGAAAACTGGCTCAATGGTTTAGTCTTAGACTAACGTAAAACCTCGTTTTTTAATAAGGCTGAATATGTTTTATATAAAATAGGAAGTTATTGTACAGCTTTGTTTTAAATCTTTACACCTTAACATATGAATGGTTTCTTACATTACATTTGTTCAAACGACATTCTTGTTGGACGACGCAATATTTTATATCTTTTTGTTGAAATAAGGGGTAGGGGGAAGACCTTCAAATGCCTGCTTCCACCATGGATATTGGACTATTCACTCACTCAACACTACCAGTTCCTTCTCCAACTTCCGGGCCACAGAACATCGGCCCACTAGGCACATCTATAGTGTTCTGACGGCTCTTTGAGGCGCGCGCGGAGATCAATATGTGCTGCAGTTTTTCTCCAGATTATAGAACCGTCTTGTTTGTTATTGATATCGTTGTTGCCTTGAATACCTCGTCCTGGTACAATAAGCTTCTTACCTCCATACGCAAAACATTGTCAATATCAGTCGTGTTCCGGTCTCTGTCATATCTTATTAACAATATTGTATAGTATTGTTCAATTCATAAGAATAGATTTTATTTTCCAATCCAAAAACATACTATATAAATGAGGGTATATAAAAAAACATACATATAAATCATTTTAGCTTTGTAGCTTTCCAAAATGAACCTCAAACTGAGAAAGGTATAGTTTTGAAAACCGTCAACTTGTTTGCCGGAAAAAGGTATGGAATAATCCTTTTAAGGGTCCTACGAGTCCCAGAAAACTTTTAATAATTTTCATAAATTTAGTGAGAGACCGACTAAAAATAAACTGGCTTCCGAGTAAAGTTTGCTCATGTGATGGTTTCTGTGAGGAATTGTTATGTTTTATTAATAACATTTTTGTCGTCGTGTATTGATTTCACATTATAAAAGAACAAAAATTGACGTCCCAAGCTAGCTTATTGGAAATTTATAAGATTTGGAAATGTAGTGTAAAATTTTCAGAGTTAAGTGTTACTGTTTTATATTTATTACTGATGCAAAGCAGGATGCGGAATGTTCTTTTTTTAATTGTTCCAAAATACCACTTACCCAACACTCGATAGTGAGGTATATAATACACAATTCTTAAAATTGTGTATTATAAATATATACATATAATGAACTAGCTTTTGCCCGCGACTCTGTTCGCGTGGAATAGTGAGCCTGCAGACTTTTGTTATAAAAACTATCCTATACCCTTTCTTGAGTTCCCAACCTTGTCTGTACCAAATTTCACGGAAATCTGTTTAGTAGTTTAGGCGTGAAGAAAAGACAGACAGACAGAGTTATTTTCGCATTTATAATATTAGTTTGGATTTAGATAAGTTTGGACTAGTTTGGATTTGGATTATATTATATCACCTATATATTATATGTATATATTACATACACCATAAACTTTCATGCTTTTAACAATTTGTTACTATCCTACATGATTTGGCATCTTTGATTTAGACCATTTTTCAAACTACTGTCATTAAATATGTCTTAAGAAATTCTTAGAAAGGGGCACCTAACTTCTTCCCCTCTCTTTTATAGTACACAAACATAAGTTAAAAGATTGCGATAGTGCATTAAGATGATTGCTCATAACAAGTCTAAGTTTGTAATATTTTTCTTCGTTTAATGTTGATTGTAGTCGAAAGTAAACTATATTACATTATCTAGGAGAAAGATATATTGTGTTTATAATCCTTACTAATATTATAAATGGGAAAGTAAGTTTCTTTGTTTATTTGTTCCGCTTTCACACCATAACTACTAAATGGATTGCTTTGAAATTTGCACACGTAAAGTTAGAAGTCCGGGTTAAATAATAGGGTACTTTTTATCCCGGCAAAATTTTATATTTCTGAGGAAAAACAAAAATATTGTTAGCTTCTTACCAGTTGGGCGATAAATGGCGCTGTTTGTGGTTTAAAACAAGGTAACAGGTCGCAAACGAATATGCATATGTAAACTTAGAAGTTAAGTCTTTACTAATATTATAATTATACAACCGAATTCAGCGCGGGCGAAGCCAAGCGTTGTACATAATGAATTGTAAAATTTATTGGTAAGCGCATAACACAACGAACTTGGACAAATTTTGACATTCATTTTTGTATTAATAACTGCCAGGCGAAGGTTCTTTTCATAAAAAATATAATAAGAAAAGTAAAGGGGAATATAGGAAACAGTGAATTAGCGAGATAATAAATATATATTTATATTTTTCCCTCTACTTTTGTAATATTCCGCTAGTATGTATATTATTCTTATATATACTAATGGTATCAAGCTGGAGAGTTTACTTGTTTAAATGCGCTAATCTCCGAACAATTATTTTTGTGTTTTTTAGTCCATTTATCGAGGAAGGCAACAGGCTATAAAACATCACGCTACGATATGTAGGAACCGAGCAGAATGTGAAACCGCGGGGCAGTAGCTGGTATAATATAAGATTTTGGTACACCAGCCAGGACTCGAATATGCTACGGACAATTTCAATCACACATTGTAGGAAGTCTTGTCTATGCAATAATTAGAGAACGAAGTCGTGATAACGCCTCCGGTCTCATAGAAGACCGTCGTGAAACAATACAGCGTTGTGTTTCGCCGTATGAGTGAGGTTACCGGAGGCCCAATCCTTCCCCGCCCCCAATCCCTCCTCAATCCCTAAATCTCAAATCCCTAATAACTAAAAGGTCGGCAACGCACTCGTAACTCCTCCGTTGCGGGTGTCCATTGGCGGCGCTGATTGCTTACCATCAGGTAATCCGTCTGCTCATTTATCGACCTATTACATAAAATAACGAGGTACTGCAAACAAAAAAAAAACGCGAGAAAGGATAGCATGGTTCAAATGGCTCAAATATGTCGAGGAAAACAAGTGATTTCCCTGGGAAATCCATGTAATATTTATAATTTCGGATTGTTCTCACTTGACTAATGGAGAATACTGCATTTACCGACACAATCTTGTAGATGATAACTTGCTTTGCGATGCAAGTTGTTTAATCAGATGTGCCGAACTACAAGTCATACTCCCTGACCCAGTTCTAGAAAATGGAGATGACACACTGTATTGAGATGAAACAATCACTGACAGGACAGGTGCCAGACAAACCTGACATTACGATGATATATCGATCAAGCAGAGACTGGAATTTAATGAAAGCTAAGGTAAATATCTTGATTTACACGTTGTATGTAGTCTCATCAGTCACATTTTATATGTGCTGATAGTCATATCTGTGATTGGCCTCATGGCCTCACAGTTGAGCTAAATTGCTGGGTTAGGGACCTGATACAAGTATAGATAGCGATACTTCAAGGCACCGCTCGTATTGTCGGGAAATTTCTTTCTCTGGAGCCCTAAACACGGTACATTGGAACCCTCCCGTTATAGGTGGGGTACTGCTTATTATATTTTAATTTTTTTTTATTTGGTGTATCTGATGAGAATTTCATGGTGTGACGAGAATAGATAAAGTGAGAAATGAGTATATTAGAGGAAGTTTGAAAGTGGCGCCAGTGACTGAAAAGTTGAAAGGGAATCGTTTGTCTTGGTATGGCCATGTGAAAGGGAGGGAGGGATGAAACGCATGTTACAAAAACAACATGAGTATAAATGTGGATGGATGGAGAGGGAGAAGAAGACCAAAGAAAATATGGATGGATTAAGTGAGAAGTGATATGGAAGACAGAGGAGATGAAATGTTTTTGGTGTAAAAATTATTATAGGCAGTAATAATATAAACGAATAGTTTACTTACCATGTACAACACGTCGTTGCTATGCCAACAATATAAAAATAGCTGAGCGATAAGAGCCATAAGATATTCTGCAATCCATATTTGTTGAACAGTCGTTGTGCCTTCCTAGAAATAAAAATAAGAGGTAGTGCAAAAACGTAATATGAAGAACTAACTTGTACAACGGTCAAGTAATATGAATTTCGTTCTATCTGTGGATTATCACTATGAAACTTATGAATAAAGTGTTAAAGATCACACCTACCGTGGTCAGTTGTGAAGCACTGGCACAAATCATAAGCGAGCAGATGATGACATATAAAAACATTACTGGAGAAAGTAAAGAATTCAGTACAGCTGAAAATCTGAAAACAAATCCACATTTATAATCATAATGAAAAAACGTCTTGTTGTTTCAACACAATTCCTATTATTTTTTGTTATTTAAATGACAAAATAAAAAATATCACTTACTTTACCATGTTCAAATGATGCAAATGACAATCCTTAATCCTTTTTACTGTTTCATCATAATTAATTAGCTCATTACCATCGCCAAACAGCCGTGAGCAATTTGCTGAAAGCACTTTTAGCTGTCCAGCAAAAAACGTCATTAATACTACAGCTGTAGAGTCGAAGTTTGCAACGACTAAACCCCCGTATACACAAGTAGACATCTGGTAAATCGTTGCTACCCAGAAACCGAAGCCTCGTGTTCTGTCAAAAGGAGTCCAAGAACTCATTATCTCTGGATATGGTAACGTACCGTTTCTAATTTTATAACGATAAGTTGGAGAGGACCAGTATGTCAGAAGTGGAGCTAAGCTGACTGTTAGAACAGTCGCAGTAACCAAGCCCCAATAGAGATAAGTGACTCTTCTAGCATATTTTATATATTTAAATATGATTTTATTAATAGTGTCATCTTTCTTGACCAGTTGCGAGCGTTCTAATTCGGAAATATAATCAAACAGTTCTTTCCAAGTATTCTGCCAGAACACCAAATTGCAGGCTTTGAAAACGCAAACAGTGCTCAACATTGTCAAAGACAAGTTCCTCATCGCCATTTCAAGGTCGTTCCGTATCACCCAAAGTTCTACATATTGTGACAAAACAAAGATAAATGCCACAAAATGCACCAAATTATGTAAGAAGTTTTTCAGACGATTCTTTTGCCAAAGACCACCGAATCGGAGCATTGAGATAGTAGGTCCTAATAATGGATCGTTTGGATCTTCTAATAGAGTCAAAAATTTTAAAACCATTTTCAAATTGAAACGAATGTTTTCTCGACTGTGGCAAAATTTAATGTGAAATTTACGTTATACACTCGAAAGCCAATTCATCATTTATGAGTGTCTATTACAACACCGATCCCGTGACTTGGCTTGTTTTAATAAATTTCGGTAAACAAATGACATTTTGTGATCTTTGCTAAGCCATCAAATACAAATCCTCAAATGCTTACGGAATCCAAAAGTTTTGTAATGGAACTGTCTATTTTAAAACCGAGATATGAGAAAATGAAGCAGTATTTTCTCCTCTATATTAAAATTGTACACTGACCTCCATATTTCACGAGTTGATTGAGTACCGAGCTGTACCGACGGACCTACATCATTTGCAAGAGTTTTTATCTCGAAAACTACAGAATGAATGAACCCACTAGGTACTATGAATGCAGATTCTAGACGAGTTTTAATCAAGTCTTTTGTGTGAAATCCTCGTAGTTTGTATGTCATTAAGAGCTACAATTCTGCTTCCATTCGGTAATTGAGTTTTAGTCGAATTACTCTTATTTCGCTGGTGTATGTTTCGTGGAATAATTTATCAAGGTGCAGGCTTTGTTTTGTATACTTGATTGTGTTTTGTTAACAAGTTTTGCTTATACTTGATGAAATTGATATCATTACATAATTGGGATATTGATACAATGGAATATTGCACAGGGTAACACGTTCTTCACTCAATTCCCGGATTTTTTTTACCTTATTTATATTAAGCCTTACAAAACTATCATTAATATCTTAAGAAGATTTAATTATGAGAGGCATTTATACGTGTCATTATCGTTAACTTTTCCAATAAAAATATCTAAACTTTATATTTATTAAAAGTAATATAAAAAAACATTCTAAATTCAAAATGCATTGTTTCAGATATTATTATGAATAAAATGTTATTAATTTCTAATTATGTACTTACTATATATGTGTATATGTATATTAATAAAGACATCGTCACAGACAAAAAAGTTTTATTTTTGCTTTAAATTATTCATCAAACATAATTAGGAATAACAATGACTAACAAACAATCATACGAAAAAATGAACAAAGTGTAAAGAATGGGCGGACAGATGTCACAATATTCAAAACAAATTGGTGCTTTGCATACAAAACAGTACCTAGCTCGTCTTTTAAATGGGCAATTTTTTGCACCAGTTATAACCGACTACTGCGGTTTAACAAATTGTACTGTTTTGGCGAATATACCAAAGTAATTGAAGGTTTTTTGCGTCAATTTGATGGAGAACTGTCAGAAAATATATTTTCTTTCTTTATTATTGCTATGGCTTCGTTTTTAAGGTGTTATTAGGTTAACAAGTACCTATTTTGTTTGACTTTATTTTGACGTTTGATAGATAGTAACTTAATTCAAGGTATTTGAAATGAAAGGTATAACTTTAGAATTGTGCAACGGAAGAACGGAACGGAACGGAAGAAGATGACACCTACCACCTAGTACCACTCCCATGAAAAGGTAACTTACCATTACCGAGAAAAACGGTCTTTTATAATCCAAGAAGGCCCAATCCTTCCCCTTCCCCAATCCCTCCTCAATCCCAAAATCCTAAACCGCAAAAGGTCGGCAACGCACTCGTAACTCCTCCGTTGCGGGTGTCCATGGGCGGCGCTGATTGCTTACCATCAGGTAATCCGCCTGCTCATTTGCACAAAAAAAACCTAACCTCAAAAAACAAAAAAAAATCGCTTAAAAAGCATAGCCCTAATTCTGTGTGCTGCGATTTGGTCTCAAGTACCAGCCTTTTATAATGATCATGAATAAGATAAAGAAAAACTCAACACAAGATGAGGACTTTATTTAGTCGCCGCTACAATAAATTGTTTAAAACTATTTAATTTAATATAAGTAGCGATGAATACAAAGTTATTTAAAGGAAAAGGAGTTTAACGTAGTAATATTTGATTTCAAAATCCTACTATCATAAAATACTCAACGTGTTTATAGTTCATGTCTCTTTTGAACTAAAATCTGACACGAAACTAAATTAAGTAAACTAAACTAAGGAAGTCACTATTCTACACTGACAACAAAATCGGCAAAAGCTAGTACTCCATATTTATAATCATAATAACAACAATAATTTTTGTTTTTTTATTATCGTTGTTGTGTACAATAAAGAATATTCATTCGTTCATTAATTCAATAATTTAAATAACGTTGATCTCGTGGAGCTTATGAGTGAAGTATACACATACGTATACATATACGTATAAGGCTAACAACGTTCTGCGCGTTCAATATACATATAATAATACGCTGAGGATACAGTTGTGACTGTCTCAACAAAGTGTAGCGCGTCTCATAGATAATTTAATGACATAATTGTAAATAATTTGGGCGCTTTCTTCCACCTTTAGGATATAAGACCTTTTCTTATAAACAATGTATTTCTGGCAAATAAACACTTATGAATTTGAATTCTGAATTTGGATTGTTTGCTGAAGCCAGAGTAGAAGACTTTCGCCGGGGCGAGGATCCTCTGTCGCGCCAAATTAGTGCGTGGCGGAATGAGCTCCGGCGAGATCTCATGGCTGAGTGGAAGCAGCGACTGTCGCAACCAAGGGCCGGGCACGCTACTATAGCAGCGGTAAGACCCCTCTTTGAGGAGTGGCTTCAGAGACGCCACGGCGTCCTCACCTTCCGCCTGCCGCAGGTGCTTACCGGGCACGGCAGCTTCGGTAGGTTCCTGTTTCGGATCCAGCGGAAGGAAACGCGCGAGTGTCGTCATTGTGAGGACCACCAAGAGGATACGGTGGAGCATACGGTGGCGGTATGCCCTGCCTAAGCTGAGCACCGTCGTGTCCTCAGGGAAGCGATGAACTATGCGCGAGGGAACTATCCTCCTCGCGCCCCAGCCGCCGCAGAAGGCGACATTCCAGGCGTCGGGGATCGAGAGATGATCTCCGGCCACCGTAAGCACAGGTCTCCGGACGGCGAGTAAGAGTAGCTCGCCGCCCGACCAGAACCAGACCCGAGCGTACGGCGCGTAGCGTTCCGCGCGCAACTCGAAGAGCCAATAGACCACCACAGACGGGCCCCCATAGGGCTGATGTTCAGCCGGGGTTGCGGGGTAAGCGCAATGAGGCACCGCGACTTCGGCCTAGAGCAGGAGTAGGAACAGGGGGGTTTTTAGTCAGTAAGAGTCTGACACTCCCTCCCGCCCGACCCTGGGTGGGAGAAGTCATTTGATGATATATGTATAATATACTGATACTGATAGCTATACTGGCAGACAACATTATGGGCCGTTTATTAGACACTGGGCAAGTAGACATGTGCGTCCTGCCGCCCATCTCAATAACGAGTGTTTTCTACCTAACATTAGTATACGAAATAACAACCACTTTTTCTTCAAAATATTTTTCTTGGGCAAAAAAAAAGATTTTCGCATTTACGAGAGCGATCAAACAAAACATTCAGCTTATCTAGTAAACGCAATTATGGATTATAATAATGTATTTGCTCAAGCCTACGTGACGTTGACCCGAAATTGTGGAATTATTGCAAAATAACAAACAGGAATTAATTGTTGTTTTAATCTGAAAGCAAAGCGGTTCACAGCGCACTTATAAATAAGCAATTTTATCCATTAATCATGTCAAATTAAATTATAATATTTGGTGTTACAAAAAGTTAAGAATAAATATTGTATGTGCTTATTTTATTCAACTTTCTTGTATCTGGGAGAAGAGAGTAAAGAAACTGTAGGAACCCTTCAGGATCTGAAATGAAAAAAATAGATTATAGAGGTTGACACTTTATTAGAATCCAAAACCGATCTAAGTTTAACATTATTTGAATCAATCCTGATTTTTGAGAGACAACATACAAAATTGCAAACCTGTCCTAACATTAATCGGGTTTCGATGAAGATTGACTGCATGGTAGGCGTTGTGGCTGGGCTACTGGCAGCTGTGCAATGTGTCGCGGGTTCGGTTTTTACACGGAACAACACTTTGTGTGATCCACAAAATGTTGTTTTGGGGCCTGAATGGTTTGTATAATATGTGTATTTGTATATTTATCAACGGAACAGAAAATAATAGTAAAAAGCAATTTCTTTAAATAAGGTAAAACTAACTACAAATTATTCTGCCCGTTGGTTTCTTTGTAATAGCATTCAGTTTCGAATAGTTTGTGATCTCCAACAAAATATTCAGTGGTTAAGCTAGTACTACATATGTTAGAAGAAGTACTTTACCCACGCGGTAAAAGATATACGATAAGTGTTTTTACAAGTCCTCAACAAACTTTTAGTCGACTAAAATAAGGACTTATTACCGAACTGCGTACTTACTTCAATAAAAGTAGGTATAGACAGCGTAGTGTATGGACCAGCATCTAATATCATACATTGGTTTAACTTTCCACCCAAAAGCAAAAGGTGTTTGCGTAAATGCACGTTACTCTTCCACCAATCACTGTTGTAGATCCCTCTGTCAACTAATTTACTCTGTAATTATAAATTATTTTAGTACAAGAATATATATTAGTACAAATTATTGTAAATAGGTTTCACATAATTAATCTATATGTATTCAGCCGGGGTAAGCGCAATGAGGCAGCGCGCCCTCGGCTCAGAGCAGGGAAAGGAACGGGAGGTTTTTAGTCAGTAAGAGTCTAACAGTCCCTTCCTTGCCTTGGGCAGGAGAAGCCATTTGATGATTTTTCCCTCACAAAAAATCTATATGTATAAAAATGTATCCCAAAATATGTCGATAAGCGCATAACTCAACAACGCCTGGACCAATTTTGCCAATTCTTTTTTTTGTGTTAACCATGGTCAGGAAAAGGTTCTTATTGAAAAAAATATAAGAAATGGGCGCGGCAGCCAGTTGCCCAGCCACCGCGCTAACAGTTCAGTCAAAATGTAATAAATACATGTGATTAAAAATGAAACACTACTCGGCGATAAATTTTATATTTTGTTTCATTTATGTATGTATGTATTTCAAATTTTGAAAAGAGACAATTTTTGTTTGTATTTACTAAGATTAATTTGTTAAAAACTTGTAAGTGTGGGAGACCCATGCTTCGTCACGAATGGATCGGGTCGACCGGAGTGATACCACGGCCTCCTAGATAATCAGCGTGAAACAACCACACCGTTGAGTTGAGGTAACCAGAGGCCTTATCCTTGCCCTCCCCCAATCCTTCTTCAATATCTAAATCCCTAAAATCCTAAACCGCAAAAGGTTGGCAACGCACTCGTAACTCTTCGGTTGTTGCGGGTGTCCATGGGCGGCGCTGATTGATTACCATTAGGTAATCCGTACACTGTAAGGTAATCCGTGGGGTGGTGGCCCGGAGGTAAAGGCGCCTGCTTCTAATGTATGAGGTTTGGGTTCGAAACCTGGCAAGTACCAATGTGACTTTTTCCGAGTTATATGTATTTCTATAATTATTTAGACACCACCGGCATACGGTGGAGGTAAACATCGTGAGGAAACCTAGACTTATAATTTGTAATTATAAGTTTGAAATCGCCGACCCGCATTGAGCAAGCGTGGTGATTAATGCTCTAACCTTCTCCGTGAGAAGAGGCCTTTGCTCAGCAGTGGGCACTTATAGGCTGATGATGATGATGATGATAATGATGACGAATCCGTATACTCGTTTGCCGTCCTGTCACATAAAAAAACTTTAAAACTTGCTTTAATTTTCAAGGTTAGTACTTACATAAAGGGTCACTTCGTTGCTATGCCAACAGTACAAAAAAAGTTGCGAAATTAAACCAGTCGTGTACTGAAAAACCCAAAGCTTTTGGGAGGCAGTAGCTTCTTTCTGAAAACAACATATTATGTATATAAAAACGCATGTTTTAGAATTTAAACTGAATAAATATTTACCATTATTACCGGATTATAATCAATAAAGAAAAATCTGAATAATGAAAAAAGACCACACCAAAGCAGTTTAAGGTAAGCTAAAGATATGTTGACATGTAAAAATGCTTCTTTTTTTGTAGCTTATTTACAAATAAATTGACTATACGATTTGTGCGGTGGCTGGGCAACTGACTGCACGTCGCGGGTTCGACTCCCGCACGGGACAACACTTTGTGTGATTAACAAATTGTTATTTCTGGTCTGGGTAGCTTGCGTATGACGGCGCTTCGATTATTTAAATTGAATTTTGAAGGAGGTTTTATCACAATTCATCGGACGAGGGTACAATGAATCGTACTCTGGCGGAACGTCAAACAGACAGTTTTGGGTGCGCATTATGGCGGAGAGCGAGCGCTGTGACTGTCATCTGAGACGGATCGCTGATGTCCGTTATTTTTGTAATTTATTCGGTCTGATTATAAAATCCTACGCCCTGCGATGGACTGTGAAGACGATGATCGGGATGTTGATGTTTGTACCAACGCTCCGGTGCCTCCATGTACATGAAATTGTATGTTTGCGTTTTTGACGCTGTCTTATTATCATAAAACAAATTACTCACGGAACTGAATTGCACGACGCTACCGCAAATTGTTATAGAACACATTAGCACATAAACGAACATTGTAGGTGACAGCAAGGAGTTGAAAAGGGTAAAGTGTCTGTAATAGAGAAAATTATATCTAAAATAACTTAAGTTATAAGCAAAATTAAATGAATATTCTAAACAATATATAATTTTAATGTAAATTATATTTTCTAGACTTTACAAATTTTATATGATCTTGTTTCTAACTAATGTACGAGTAGAGCACTCTCAAAACTTTTAATTATATGTATAATTGAGATAAAGAAACTAAACTCCGAAATTACCTCCGTCGACATCCAATCAACGGGGTAAAGCACTTAAAACAGATCCATAAAAACTTATGAAGCACTTACTTCAATAAGGTGTTATGATGTCTGTGGCACTCTTTGATCCTATCTAACACGTCTTGTGCCGAAGTTACGTCATCAAATAGGCTGTCACATTTCTCCCTCAGTATAATCATCTGGCCTTTAAGATAAGACATGATAGCTACAGCGTTCATATCGTACACAGCTAGCACACCAGAACCTTGACTTCCCATAATGATGTGAACAATTACGCTTATCAAATACCCAGGCATCCTGCCATTATCAAACGGAAACCAAGAACACAATATCTGTGGCAACGGTTCAATCCCCTTTCTTATATTTTCTCGGTAAGAAATTGACGATACATATTTCAATAAAGGTGTTAGTATTAGAAGAAAATTTGTAATAACTACCATCGTCCAAAACATATATGTTATAATCCTAGTATACTTTGTGTAGTCTTTCATATGCTGCCGGATTTTAGGATCTCCTTTTTTCATTTGATTTAGTTCTTCTTCAGAAATATATTGGACGAGCCTCCTCCATCTGCTTTGCCAAAACACGTAAGAGAAACATTTCGCGAGACAAATGACACTTAGAATAGTAAGGGACATGTTGTTCAAAACTTTGTTAATATCGTGCCTGACACAATAAAGATCGACAAATTGACTAATTACGAAAAAAACTGTTACTGTATGTAGCAAATTGTAAACAACCGTTCGGAATTTGGTCCCGGTGGTCCAAAGACCAAATAAATACAACCCCTTTAATGTTGGACCCAATAAAGGATTTTCGGGGTCCTCCAAACGCTTGGTGAAATTTACTACTTTTTTAAAAAACATGATTCTTTGTGTAATCTTCGAAAAGGTTAAAGCGTGAATGTTCTATAGTGACTTTTACAAGGGGTTAATTTCTTCAATTGTCCAATTAGCAAATCGGTTAGAATGGTCAATTTCATTTTATTTCTTCGCACAATGAGGTGCTACAAATTGTTTGCAAATTAACCTTTTTGTAGGGTTCCTTTTTTACAAAGCATAAGAGTATAATTTTTAAATTCGAATAAAAGTTACTTAACCTTAAGTGTGGGAGAGCCGAGCTTCGGATCAGGTGGGTCGTTTAGAACGGAGTGATACAACAGCCTCACAGGAAATCGGCGTGAAACAACCACGACGTTGTGTTTCACCGTGTGAGTGAGGTCCCCCATCTCTTCCCAATCCTTAAATATCCGAAACCCTTATCCCTAAAAGGCATCGCACTCGTAACTCCTTTGGTATTGCAGGTGTCCCTGGGAAGCGCTGATTGCTTGCTTACCATCAGGTAATCCGTCTATTCATTTGCTGACCTATACATATATACAATTAAAACACTAGTAAGTTGGACTTCATTAATGATATTTAAATTTAAATTGGACACTAGAATTTAATTGGACTTTTTACATTCCTATTAAATTACTTTGTACGTACTGGTTAGATTACATACTGTCGTGCTTTTACTAATTACTTGAAGTTTATGAAACGTAACTCTTATTAGCCTTCGTAGCGTTCCGCGCGCGCCTCAAAGAGCCAATGGACCACCACAGACGGGGCCCTACAGGGCTGATGTTCAGCCAGGGTTGCGGGTTAAGCGCAATGAGTCACCGAGGCCACGACCCAGAGCAGGAGAAGGAACGGGGGTTTTTAGTCAGTAAGAGTCTGACACTCTCTCTCGCCGAACCCAGGGCGGGAGAAGTCATTTGATGATTTTTCCCTGACAAAAAAACTCTTATTAGCCCTGAATTGAATCACATCTTCGCCTGAATAATTTTAAATTCCCTTTGTTGTTCATCTATATAACTTTCCAAATATAAAAGAAAGTGCAAAAGATAATTATTTTTCTTATAATATTATTAACTAGCAGAAGAAACTCCATTACAATCCGACCACTAGGTACGTTGCTCCACTTTATATATTTTACTCTCAGAATTTTCCAATAGCAAAAGGTCAACAAAGATTTTCAACTATAAAGTCATATAGTAACTTTTTGATTTAAAAATAAATGTGAAAACTTAAATGGAAGTTTTATGCTACATTTGTGTTTACAAAATAGGATTTTTATTATTTGAAAACGTAAACTGAAAAAGGAGATATAATAAAATTATTACATTACACCGCACTTCACATCGATAATAATGATAATTCATTAAGTAAGTTTTTTTTGTAAAACATGAAAAATTACAAATTCTTCATTTAAATTTGGTATTTTTTATTTTTAGGTACAATATTGTTACGTGCCTCGTCACGTTCCTGACTATGCGGGCTTGGGTTACGGGATTGGATGAAATGAAACACTAATACCGGTTTTCAGACTTTCTATTGCACTTAAGTTACAGCGTCCACGGAGTTAAGTTATCGGCGTTCCTCTCCAGCAGAGTCCGGCCGACTGACACAACTTTGCCGTTCACGCTGACTTAACTCACTTAACTGACTGCACTTCACTATTTCACTGCACTTCACTATTTCACTCACTTTTCTTCTTTTTCACTTCTTCCTTTTCTTCCGAATCGCTTTAGACTTAGAACTCAACTGCCAGCGGTGAGCCGCAGTTCCGCTTATATACCCCCGGTCAAGTTCTGGAACATTCAATTTCGTTATTCTTTTTGATCGTCATGCCTCCAGAACCTTCCAATAATTTCGTTATTCATTTTTATTTATTCTCCTTCTCGCTCTTTAATTTTTCATTTATTTCACACAAATAATTCCAGAAAGTTCGAAAAAACTTCCATCAACTAAAAAACTTCATGTTTACGGCGGGACTCGAACTCGGGGTATCTGTGGTGTAATCCACACGCCTTACCAATTACACCAACTCGTATTGACAATTCACGACGAAATTTACAATCTCTAGGCAACGTTTGACAACCATCCATTGACGTCATGATGTCAAAGAGTTTGAACCTCTTTTCCGTCACAATATATTCTAATGATACGCATCTGTGGTAGTCTATTGGCTCTTTGAGGATAACAGTTTTTTCAAAAGATTCTTCATCAAAAACAGTTATTGAGTATTACAATTATAGTTCCTATTGCCAGACTTAACTAAATTATCGTTAGCTACGTCGCACGCTTTTATTAAAGTATATTGTACCTATAAAGCCACCTGTCCTTACTCGTCTCCTATTAAAACTTTAAATACACTTTATTTTTCCACGTGACGTCATAAAATGGCGGCGTCTGCTTGCGTAGTTTTCGAATTACTCAACGATTATTTCACATTTATAGTAGTAGGATTTTTAAAATGTTAGGTTTTTGCTATTAATATTCTATACTTATTTAATATACAGAAGATAATCGTAAAACATTTCGATTAACAACGTTTATAATAATATTTACTTAATAATCAAAGGACATGGATCATTTTTGAAGCTACAAATACCGGCCAAATATTAGTGATTAATTCGTTTTGCCTAAGATTTTTTTAACAAAACATATATTATTATAAATAAGTACGGAACCGCATGTAAATGTTCTACTTACTAAAACAATTTTCTCTATTAACCCTTCATATGACTTTTATTTCTCATTTCCACTTAAACGAGTTTATTAAAAATGTATGGAACATGGCCAGCCGCTTAGGATAAATTGAAGGGAAAAATCCTACAATGCTGTTCTTTTGCAAAAGGAAAAAATTGTGTTTTTATTTACCTCAGAGCTTACCAATATGAAAAAAAAAATAAACTTAAAGACTTGGCTCACGCACTGAAACGACTTTTTAATATTATTTGACTTTACCAAAACATTTCCTGTACAAGATTTCCCACAAGTTTTATATTAAAATTCTCGAAACGATGCACAGTTTAATTAGTAATTTCGAAAACTTGACATGGGTTTAGCAAATTGGTTGTTAAAACTTTAGTAAGAGCTTTAATGGATATTGGGCCTACATCATTCCCTTGGCGAAGTTAATGTGATTAACATAACGACCTCTTCTATTTACCACCTCACTGAATAGTCACAGACACAACCGTTGAATATGGGGAGTAGAGTTTTTTTGGGGACAGAAAAAAAGTTTGACTTGATAAGTGTGGGAGAGCCAAGCTTCGGCATGAATGGGTCGGCTCGACTGGAGTGATAACAAGGCCTCACAGAAAAACGTTAACAAACGGTGTAAACAACCGATTGGGAAAGGGTGGGGGAGGGGGAGAGATTGGGCCACCGGTAACCTCACTCACACGGCGAAACACAACTCTATGGTTGTTTCACGCCGGTTTTCTGTAAGGCCGTGGTCACTCCGGTAGATCAGACCCATTTATGCCAAAGCTTGGCTCTCCCAAAAATATCTGCTTATTTCCAAGTTTTTAGAGAAAAGCAAATATAACAAAAACGCTACGTGTATTCAGTGCCGGAAATATTACAGGCACATCCAATGAAAAATTTCGGTTAGATGAAATGCTAATATTTAACGTTGTTAACATATAATATTTTCCTCGAATAATGTTCAGGAAAGCTTAGCTTGGCTTTTTCGTAATACCAAGTGAAAGGAAAATTATAGCAGGGATTCTTGCTTAATTTAATTTACAAGTTGATATTATATATTATATTGAAGATGAAGATGAAAAATGGCGAAGGTAAATATCCTGAGGAAAACTGGACTATAGTTTGTAATTGTACTTTATTGCACACACACACCAAGCAGCAATACATTGGATACTATGACCGAATGTTGTGATTACAATGGGCCATCTTATCACACAAGGCGATTTCTTCCAGACAACCTTTAGATGGAATGTATAAAAGAAATTTGGTCATGGGTAGTTTGAACTCATCAATCGGCCATGACCAAGCATGATGATTAATTCTCAAAAAAAAATTCTTATCTAAAGTGGTGCTCAGCTATTAGTCCATAATATTCAAGTGATGAAACAAGATGGGTAAATATTCCTATTTTGTCCATACACATTGTAAAAACGGATTTGAAGAGTTCGTAATAGGCTTTGACTAAATAGTGTTATTCTTGGGAGAGGACTAGGTTCTTATAATTGAGATAAGGCGGGCGAAGTTTCAAAGGAAATTTAAAATGTAATAAATTATATTTGACACTAGCTTTCGCCCACGACTTCGTTCGCGTGGAATAGTGATTTCCTGCAGATTTTTGGTTTTACCTACATAGTTCTCGATCTCGCTAAATGTGTGTGTATCAAATTTCAGTTTCAGTAATTTAGGCGTGAAGAAAAGACAGACAGACAGACTTACTTTCG